CCGCCCGCGGTACCATGTCCAAGGCGGCCGCAGGCGCGGCGGCGGCCGAAAGTTGCGCCCCAGCCCCGGGGGGCCCGGCCGCCGCCGCCGAGGACCTGTCCAAAGTGTCGGACGAGGAGCTGCTGCAGTGGAGCAAGGAGGAGCTGATCCGCAGCCTGCGGCGCGCCGAGGCCGAGAAGGTGAGCGCGATGCTGGACCACAGCAACCTCATCCGCGAGGTGAACCGCCGGCTGCAGCTGCACCTCGGCGAGATCCGCGGGCTCAAGGTGAGCGCGGCCGGCGGGCCGGTGCGGGCCCCTCCCCTCGCAAGGCGACCCTCCCTGCGTCCTCCCAGCCCGCAGCCGCCCGTCCCGCCCTCCGCAAAGTTTGGCAAACTTCGGGGGCTTTGGCCTCCCGTTGCCCGACGGCTTCGAGCTCTCCCGGCTTCTCTGAAGCGAGAGGAACGGTCGCCAGCGACCGGGAAAGTGCCGAGGGAGGTGGCGACCCGCTGAACCCTCTGTCCCCGAGAGCCTGAACGTCCGCGCTCGGGGAGCCGCTTGCGGGAGGCCGGGTGACGGGGTGCCGGGCAGCGCTGCCCGGGTGGTCGGGGGAGGCTGCTCCAGCGCCGCCATCCTTCGGGTGGGCAGGGGTCATGGAAAGGGCGTCCCTGCCCGGGAGAGGGGCGGCGGATGCCCGGGAGGAGTAGCGGCCCCGCCCTTGGAGCTGGTGTGCGTCACCTGGGGCAAAGCACCTTCAGAGATTCCGCCAGCTGCTGTGCTTCTTTTGCCTTCCTTTGGCTGGGGTCGTCCGGGACTGTATCCTCCGCTCCCCAGTCCACCGCGGTCTGGTTTTAATTTTATCCAGAATGGGAGGTGGATGGGAAGGCAAGGGGCGCACTGTGGACGGCGCAGGGCTTTGAAAGGGTGCCCCAAGGGTCCGTGTGTGATGCTTTCTATTTTGGCTCACCGTCCCAGTGCTGTTAGCAGGCGGGGAGACCCCTAATTCCGCTAACTTTCTTTTCTCCTTGGAGAGCTCTGAGGGCCAGCAATGTGCCTGCCAGGCAGCAGCAGCCCAGGGGCCGGGAACCGCCCTGCTGGCCACGATACGCTGCAAACTTCCTCTCCACATGCTTGCCTGGTGCCTCCCGCTATTCCTTCCTCTCATTGTTCTGCTTTGTTTATAGGAAGCCAGACACAAACGAAATACCTGCGGGGACCTTAGGGAGCACATTCCCGCAGGCACAAGCTGTTCTTGTCCCTGTCCACTCCCACCCGCTTCTTCCTCGGTAGACTGTTTAATTGCCTCCGGGCTCTCCTTCTGGGATTCTGGACACAGGAATGGCAGGTGCGGGATGCCCGGATTCGCCTGTGTGCTGCACCACGCAGTCTGAGTGGAAATGACCCTCCGAGTTCCCAACTCTCTGTCCTATGGTCCCCAGAGTCGGTGCAATTAGGAAGAGCCCACAGACAGAAAATCCCCAGCCTTAATCTCTCCTTTATTTTAATTCATTATTAATGGAGTATTATTAAGCACCAGGCTGTTTGGCGAATAGAGGCAGGCTGGAATAGGGGCAAGATGATCTTAGAAGTGGGTTCGCCTTTGGAAACCTCATCTGCCAGGAAGGTGAGCTTGGGTAATTTGTCAGGTCCTTACTCTATTATCAGTGTAACGCACATGATAATTCCTCGGGTGTTGGGAAGATAAATTAATAATGTAGGGCAAGGTTTAGTACTGAACTTGACTACAAAACATAATGGTTATTGTCATTAGGTGGGGACAGATAATGGTACAGCCTGGATTTCTTAGGTGAAACTGGACAATAGTATCAGTCTTTCAGCCTGGAGTTTAATCTTCTTAAATGGTTTGAACAGTAATGTGACTTGTAAGAGTTTAACTTAATTAATTTCCTAAAAATTTTAATAATATAGAGAATCAACACGATAAATCAGATTCTTGGGTGTCCTTTCATGTAGCTGTGGGCTGTGTGTGAAGCTCCATGTGAGTGGAGCAGTAGCGCTCTGAGTGGTGGGGTACCTGGTTTTCACTACAGTGGCATCACTTAGAAAATAGCTATTGCGGGGCTGGGGATTTAGCTCAGCGGCACAGCGCCTGCCTGGCAAGCGCAAGGTGGTGAGTTCGATTCCTGGTACCGGAAGAAAAACAAAAAAACAACAAAAAAAGAAGGAAAATAGCTTATTGGGCCAGTTATGAGCAGTTACACCCTAAGTAGCGAAGTCTCTTTGTGGTCTAGATTCACGAGGTGGCATTAAAAGACTTCTTAGCCTTCCCCCTTGTGAAGTTCAGAAATGATGACAGCTGGTTACTTATTATTGCAGACTCTACTCCAAAAAGAAGTAAAGTCATCCCCGGGTAGCTTCAGGGTGGTACCAAGGTACCAAGGCCTGAGGTGCCTGCTGTGTTAAGGCTCCGCTGAGAGGCCAACATTCTCCCTTTTCTTAGTCATTTTAGCACAGAGCTTCCTTGGGCACTGTAGTGACAGGTGTATTTATTTGGTGGTGTTATTGGAAGATAGCGATCTTACTCTTGGCTCTGATGATTTGGCGTACTCAGTTGACTGTAAATGTAGGGTAATTAAGGCCACAGTACTCTTTAATGCCCCTTTCTGTGAGCTGACTTTGAAATTGCATCCAGATAGTTTTGAGGCTAGTAGGTGGAATTGTAGCTATATAGTTTGCTTAGCTGGGGCAAACTGTTAACCTTTCTCTGAGCTTCAGTTTTCTCAGGGGCTCAGTGAGGATTTTAATTCCAGTTCTAAATATGGTTCTATGAGGGTTAAATGATACATGGATGCAGCAACCTCAGGAAGCTTAGGTAGATTTCCCAAGGTCACATAGATATAAAATACTCAGAATAGGTTTTGTTGTCTTTTAGCTATCTGATATTCTTTGTTGAGAATGTTGGGACCCGAAGGGGTGGAGAAAGGGCGTTTTGATTAGGGTGCTAATATGGAAAGACATTGGGTTCTTTGGACTGTTCCGGGGACACAGAATGCTGGTGGGGGCTGATTTTGGGCAGCCAAATCTCTGTGGATTCGTTGTCTGCATTGCATTAATCTTCCTATTGCTCCCATCTCCTCTCCTTCATTCTGCACTGAAAAGAAAGAATGCATTACAGCAGTTCTTCTCTGTTGATATAGTTCATGATGCTCTTCAATCAAGGTTGAAGTTTTGGGTGGTGCTCTACAAAGTGGACACAGGCCATGTGAGACACTTGGATAGAATCTGGTGGCCCATGGTGGTGTTCAGAGAGAACTTGGTTCGGGAAGAAAGTCCAGGTCTCACTGTGGTGAATTTGGGGAATCCAGCTGGCGAGGTCGCCTGGCTGTGCCTACAGGCTGAAAGAAAGGGCTTTCAAGTGGAAAGTAGGCAACATTCTCAGGGAAGTTGAGGTGGGAAGAAGGAGCTGTGATAAAGTGGAATCGGCCCCTTCTGGCGCCACCAGTGTGAAGTGCTGTGAAGGCTCTAGTCCCCTCCACAGAGCCCAGGATACTGCCAGTCCTGTTTGCATTTCTGGAGAAATCAGGACTAATGTGGGAGTCCAAGGAAAGCATTTCAGATGGAAACCCATTCAGATGAAGAAGAGCATGGTTTTTTTTTTCTATCTAATTCCAGGATTAAATTGAATGTTGAATACATTTTGAAGCTTAGAAAGATTAATTTTGTTTAGTACTATTTTCTCTGAATAGTCATAGCTTCTGATTGCCTCTAAGGCATCAATATCAAGGGATAATTTATCCTCTTGTTACTGTAGATTCCAACATAGCAGGGGCTTGCTGAAAATAATAGTAGAAATCCTCTCTCAGGAGCTACAGCTGAAACCTGTTTTGGCAGCAAGCCTAGGGCTTTAAAGGTTTGATCAGTCCATAAACACTGTCTTAAGTGTCTACAGTATGAAAGGTACCCTGGCAGGTATGCTGCATATGCGAAGACGTTAGACATCTGTCTTTCATATGCTCAGATACCTATATGAGAAAGGAAGAAAAAATTGATGCCCAGTGAATGCTGAAATGTGTTATGGGCATTAAGCAGTGAGGAGAAAGCTACCTCATTCATTTATGAGGTGTGACCTGGCGCATATTTGTGGTTAGTGTTCTGGTGCCTAGAGAGACTGCTCAGGGGAAATCTGTCGTTGTAGGTTAAGTTCATATGGGTGGGAAGGGTAGGCGCTGGCTGGAGTGCACAGGTGTAATTAGGGCTCCTAATTTGTCCACCGAGAGTCAAAGGTAGAAATATAGGAGAATGTTTTTCAGGTGTGGCCAAAGGGTTTGTTCTTTTTTCCTACCAAAGGGGAGCTGCTGGAGGTTGGTGAGCAGGAAGGCAAACCATGTGGGGACCCTTCCTGAAGATCAGTCTGGCTGAGGGGAGTTTGGATTAGAGCAGGCAAGAGAAGACAAGATGCACACTAAGGCAGAGAAGCCAGGTGGGAGGCTGCTGGCAAAGGTCAGGCCTAAGGTCATAAAGTAACCACAAAAACAAAAGGAAGAAGTGGGCATTAGAAACAAAGCTACAGTTGTCAGTGAGGCCAAGGGCTGGAACTGGAGTTGAATGAAGACTGATTTTACAGGCCTGGAAATTGCTTTCCATCCTGGGCCTTGTGACTGTCAGGAAATGAAGGACATCATTGGTAGACATTTTAAAATTTATTTTCTAGTCAGTATCAGGGGATGTGTTGAGGTCAACTCAGGTTTAACAGAAGGAAGTCCGTTTTCTGCGTATCTGTAGCTCTGATTGGGAGCTAGAGTTGTGTAAAACCGGAGGTGGTCAGGCTGGTAGAGCAGGGTGGGTCTTACAGACAGCCCCATGGCGAACCCTGCCCCATGTCTAACCATGGCGCCTCTTCTACTGTGTGTGTGAGAGGAGAGTAAGTGGGAATGTCACAATGCATTGTCCGGAGCGGGAGTACCATGCTCTTGCCACATAGGAGAATAGAGTAGACGAGGTTTCCCATTCTCTTGGGCTCCGGTGAGGATGGAGACTTGAACTAACGGGCAGTATACACACAACTATTGCACTGCAATAGGTAAACAGGGGCAAGTGGAAGGGTGGCACCGAGCAGGGGCTTGTTCTTTGGCTCTGTGGAGGAATAACAAAATGAGCCTGGTTGTGTACAAGGCTGGGGAAGGCACTGCACGTGAGAGAAGGGTTTTCCCCCTGACCTGAAACAAGGCTAGGACTGCTGTCCTCAGTGCGTGGTGCTCAGCTTTTCCATTGCTCCCTCGCACCTAAGCCACCGATGTCGACCTGGACCAGTCCTGCGGCGTCCCCACTGGTCATCTGGCCTCCCCCTGATCCTGTCTCGCTCCCTTTCCTCCTCCTCCCCGCCCGGGTCAGTCACGGTCCTGCCCAGAACTGTGGCAGTTCTTTATAAAACGAGTCATATCTGTCACTCCTCTCATCTCAGGTCTTCAGCAACCCCAGGTCCCTTCCATGGTGGACCAAGCCCCATGCCACTTAGGCTCCGGTGCCTCTTTGACCTCCCTTCCCACCTCATTTCATCCCATTTCCAGGGCTTGTGTACTTGCCCTATGTCTGCTCTGCTTCACCTTCACATACATGTTTGCTCCTTCGTTTTAGCCAGGTCGTTGCTCAGTTCTTTCCCTTCTTTGCAGTGGTGCCTTAAAAAAAAGTATTTTTAGCATTCTTTAGTTTTTTTCCCCAGCACTTTGCATTACGTGATTGTATATATATATATATATATATATATATATATAATTTTATTTCTTCCACTTGAACTTGTCCCTTGTGCATACTAGATGCTTACTAAATGTTTATGAATGAGCAGACTGAGTCAGATCACGTGGGGCCTGGTGAGAAGCAAAGGAGTTTGCACTTTATCCCATGGCACTGACACACTGTTAAAGCGTTTTTACTATGGGAGTGACAAGGTGAAGTAAATTTTTGAGGTTGCTTTCCAAACACTGGTTTGGGAGTGGAAGGAGAGAGAAGGTACCCAGCAGATTCCTGGGGAGGGCAGTGGGCTGGGTGGATATGGTGGTTGCTGAGAGGTGCGCTTTGGGAAGGCGTGTTTGACCATCAAGAGCTCAGTGTAGCTTATGTTAAGTGTGAGATACCCGAGAGACATCCGTGTGGGTACAGCAGGTAGGGGTTGGATGTGGCCGCTGAGGCCCACTAGAGGGCAACTGTGTGTTTCCCTAGTGGGGGGTTTGGGCTCATTCCATGTCAAGGTTGAACAGTGGAGCAGTGCTTTTTTGGTGCTATTGAAAGACCTTCAGTCACAGAGCTTTGGGATATTTCATAGGTCAGAAGCAGCCATGTGCTTTCGAGGGTGTATGGGGGGTGGTGTTTGTTTTCTATGAACTGATTTTTTATCAATTAACTGTCTGCTCCCTAAATACTGACTGCATGATTCTGGACAAGTGAAGCTTTGTGAGATTCAATTTCCCCTTCTGTAAAATGATAGCAATTTCTATCATCAAATATTTTGGTGAAACTTAGATGAAATAATAAAGTGTTATGCAGAGAACAAAACTGACACTTATTATTTCAGCATTTATAGGTTTGTGGAGGGGTACACACCTTCACCTCCCTCCTGCCCTTTCACCTCTTCCCCTGACATCCCAGAGAACTCAGCAGTTCCAGGCTCCCCCGACCCCAGGTATCTGAGCGTGCAGCCTCCTATGAGTTCCTGCCTTGAGTGGTTGTTTCTCTCTTTTCAGGATATTAACCAGAAACTCCAGGAGGACAACCAGGAATTGAGGGATCTCTGCTGTTTTCTGGATGATGACCGGCAGAAAGGGAAAAGGGTGTCCCGGGAGTGGCAGAGACTGGGCCGCTACACAGCTGGGGTGATGCACAAGGAAGTGGCCTTATACCTGCAGAAGCTAAAGGAGCTGGAGGTGAAGCAGGAGGAAGTAGTGAAGGAGAACATGGAGCTCAAGGAACTCTGCGTACTGCTGGATGAGGAGAAGGGTGCGGGCTGTGCGGGCAGCCGCTGCTCCATTGACAGCCAGGCCAGCCTGTGCCAACTTGCAGCCTCCCCTGCACCCTACGTGCGGGATGTGGGAGATGGCAGCAGTACCTCCAGCACTGGCAGCACCGATAGCCCTGACCACCACAAGCACCATGCAAGTGGAGGCAGCCCTGAGCATCTGCAGAAGCCCCGGGGTGAGGGCAGCCCGGAGCACTCCAAGCACAGGAGTGCCAGCCCTGAACACTTGCAGAAGCCCAGGGTCTCCGGGACCTCAGAGCACCCAAAGGCCCTCAAAGGACCCAGCCCCGAGCACCACAAACCTTTGTGCAAGGGCAGTCCGGAGCAGCAGAGGCATGCACACCCAGGGAGCAGCCCAGAGACGCTGCCTAAGCACGTGCTGAGCGGGAGCCCAGAGCATTTCCAGAAGCACAGGCCAGGGGGCAGCCCGGAGCATGCCAGGCACAGTGGAGGGAGCCCAGAGCACCTTCAGAAACACGCTCTTGGGGGGAGCCTGGAACACCTTCCCAGAGCCAGGGGCACCAGCCCTGAGCATCTCAAACAACATTATGGGGGCAGCCCTGATCACAAACACGTAGGCGGCGGAGGCAGCGGCGGAGGCAGCAGGGAGGGCACCCTCAGGCGGCAAGCACAAGAGGATGCATCACCCCATCATCGCAATGTCTACAGTGGCATGAACGGTGGGTCAGTACGCGCTGTGGAACGGCTTTTCCTGAGCAACTGAGCAGAGAGTGATGAATGATAAAGGGCTTGTCAACCTAGAAAGTACAGGTGCTGGCTGAGGGGTGGGTTGGGAGGAGGGACAGACATTGTCCCTGAGATCATGAAGTGTGTTTCTTCCCCTTGATTTGTTTTTATTATATATGGTTATCAGGCAAGACAGAAGATGGTGGAGGGTGAAGGGTTAGTCTCTGACTTGAAATCTATGAGTACTGGAGATAAGAATAAGGTTTTTTCATTCTGAAGTTCAGTATTTTCCTAGTTTATGCTATCTCTTGCCAGGATTCACTTGTGGAAGGGGACGCGAGTGGTTTTTGAATACAGTTAACAGCTTTTTCAGAAAGGATGAATCCTTATTATGAAAACAGTATTAAAAAAGAAACATGGCAACCCTTAGTAGGCTTGGTGACTGGTTTGCTTGAATACCTATACATGTCCTTTTGCCTTGAGGACTTTCTTTCTTTGTATTGGTGGTGGTAGCATGGATTTGTGAGTTTTATTTGCATCCACGATGCTTCAAGTAATTCTCTTTCCTGCTCATTCAAAGCCACCTACTGTCTCACCAAAGTCCCTTAAATATGTTTTAAAGAGTATGCCCTTTCACATCAGAGGAGACGCCTTTCTGGGTCATTTAAATATACCTGTTTAGCATGTACAGGTGTGTGTGGACTCGCCTTTGGTTTCCAAAGCATGACACCTGCTACATTTGCTGAGGCAGCACTAAACCTCAGCTTTTAGACCTTTTAAATGCAGCTTAATTTTCTGCATCTTCGTTCTGAAATCACTTTGAACTCAAGAGAGAGAAATCATTTCTTAAAACAAAAACCAAACCAAAACCAAAACAGAACAATAAAAAACCCTTTCACAATTCTTTTGTATTACTTCTTATGGTTGAGTTGAAACTAAAGTCATTGGTTTTATGAACCGTGGGTTTTTCACTAAAATACCTGGTTTTTCGCTGTATATGAAAGCTCCTCTAGAGTCTATGTGTGGCCAGCTATGAACAGTGGTGGAGAAGGCTGCCAATTTTAGTGGCATGAAGGGATAAATTTTCAATATTGTACCTTAAAGTTTAGTTGTTGGGTTCCATTTCATCCTAATCCTTTGCTCCGAGTGTTGAGAATTGACTCTGGAAGCTCGGCTTCCAGTGCATCTGGCATTCTTCTAAGTGCACATAGAACTGGTAGAGGTGGGAAAGACAGCTGCTGTTTTCTTGGTTGCCTGGGTTGGAGGTAGCACGGAGAAGCCATTATCTTCTGTTTCCGGGTCTTCTGGCTGGTGCGTTTGCCAGATTGCTTGCACCTGTATCCGCTGTTCCCAAGGGTGGTGTAGAGGTGCCATGATTGCCACGGGCAGCCTTGGCTACACAAGGGGTGAAGGTCATTTAGAAAAGATCGTTTGGTTGTGTTACTGTCATGAGTTGGGTCATTGACCGTGGTGCTTGTCTTCGGGGGGGTCAACGGGAAAGTAAAGTTAATGACTCTCCCATTTCTTGATTAATTTTTAATGAGCTTGAGAAGGAATGATGTACACTGTTTTAAGGAAACATCATTTCTTAAACTAAAAATACTTAGGGGCAGGTAGTTCACTTACAGTAAACCTTTATTTTATAAAATCGCTCTTTAAAGAACTCTATCTTTATTTAAAAATTTTATATTATTATTATAGATTAACAAATTATAATTTGTAAATATTTGTTGGCTATAATGTGATATTTTGGTCTATGTATACAATGTGGCATGATTAAATCAAACATATCTACTGCCTCTCACGTAAAATTTTTTATGGTGAGACATTTTCAATTTATTTTCTTAGTTTGAGATATATATGATTATCAACTATAATTACCTGGCTGTATGATAGATCTCAAATCCTATTCCTCCTTTCTGTCTGAAGTTTTGTGCCATTTGATCAACAACTGCACATTCCTTCCCCTTCTGTTATTACCCTACCCTCTGGTAACCATCGTTCTACTCTTTATTTCTGTGGTCCAAACTTTACTGGATGCATTAGAAGTCAACTCATATGACATTTGTTTTTTTTTTTTTTTTTTTTTGG